TAGTACTGGAGTAGGGAGCTGCTCTGACAAATACCTAAAATGTGGAAACAAGAGTGGAATGCATCCTTGACTTGAGACCCTGGCAGGAAGAGAGCAGCAGAAGAGCCAAGAGATTGGCATGAGAGAGGGCAGCAGAAAAGCTGAGAGTCTGGCATGAAACAGCTATAGCCTTACCAGCCCACAGAGTGAGAAGGCTGAGTGTCTTCTGGGCAGGATGATTCCTACCAGTGTGGGTTGCCCTCAGGCATTAATTGATAGAAGGAGAAAGACCAAGGAAACTGGAAGCCGAGCTGCCTCAGCCTTAAAGGGTAGGACCATGGCCTTTTGGTGGAACCACCACAGCCATCTAGGTTTCAAAGACCTTCACCAACTTGGTTCTGGAGTGTAGGGCTGCTTGTTCATGTGGGCCAGTGGTATGGGGCCACAGCCACTGCTCAAGAGTGTGGGGGCAGGCCTCCATGACCAAAAGGTGGAGAAACAGCACCCTCCAGGCCAAGCGGAAGAGGTCACCACTCAGAGGAACTTGGGACTGAAGCCACCCAATGAAGGAGATCTTTATAGGTGCCAAGGTGACAAGGGCTGGAATTGTGGTAGTTAAGATTGTGTCAACTTAGCCAGGCCTGGTTTTGAGTGGCTGGCAGCTGGATGTAGTACTCCCTATGATGAGACTGGTAATCAACTCCCTGCTGGAATCTGCTGTGAGCAGGTGAGTGGCTGCCATAGTGATGTGGTCTGTTCCTAGGATATAAGAAGCAGCTTTAGGTATGGTCTGCAGCTGTTTGGCCCACTTTAACCCTACATGTAGCCAAGTCATTGTTCAGCAGCCTGCTATGTCCTTCCAATCTTTGAATTTTTTCTAGACTTGGATTACTAGCCTGCCATGTTGTTTGGAAATTCTGGGATTGTGCCTTTTTACTTGTCAATCTTGGGTTTGTCAGCCTCAGCAGTCAGCAGCTGTCTGAGTGAAAGAAAGCCTCCAGCTTCAGTGGTCCAGGAGCAGGAGGCAGAGTTGAAGCCCAGGGTTAAGGGCTTTTCAGCCAGCCCCTAGAACCTGGCACTTTGAACTTGGACTTCTACCCTCCAAAATTGTAAGAGACTAAAGCTCTGTTTGTTTAAAACCACCCATTTGTGGTACATTCCTGTCACAGCAGCACTAACTAACCAAAACAGGTCGTATATAAATACACATATGTGTTGTTGAACATCTACTATATTGCTTGCTATATAGTTGTTGTTGTTATGTGCCATCAAGTCAGATGCAACTCATAGTGACCTCTCTTTGGGTTTCTGAGGCAGTGTCACTATAGAAGTGATTGCTCAACCTTCCTTCTGAGGAGTGGCTGGTGGGTTTGAACCACCAGCCTTCTGGTTAGCAGTCAAGTGCCTTAGGCACTACGCTACCAGTGCTCCCTCCTATACAATAGGTGATCAATAAATACTACATTCATTAACTGTGATACAAACATTTTCTCCCACTCAGTATTTGGAATTTTGATCATCTTATTGGTATCTATGATAAACATAAATCCTCAATTTTAATGGAGACCTATTTATAATCTTTTCTTTTTATGGGTGGTGAGTAGTGATAGTTTTTTTGTTTTGTTTTTTTAAATTTAATCCCCAGATCATGAATATATTCTTATGTTATCTTTGACAAACTTTACTGTGTTATCTTCCCAGTTAGATGTGTAATCTATCTGAAACTGATTATTTTGAATGGTATGAGACAGAGGTCAAGGTTCATTTTTTTCCTCATGTGGTTACCTAATTTATTTAGCTTACTTATTGAAAGGGAACTCTGGTGGAATAGGGAATAGTGCATAAGGCATTTGACTGCTAACCAGAAAGCTAGCAGTTCAAACTCACCAGCCGCTCCTTGGAATGAAGACTGGGCAATCTACTTCCATAGAGATACCACCTCGGAAGATTATCCTTTCTCTCACTGCTTTGAAGAACAAAATATTTCATAAATCACATGCTAAAATATAAGTGGGTCTGTTTCAAGATTATATCTTCTGTTTCTCTGGCCTGTATATCCTTGTTGCATTACCACTCTGTCTTGATTATTCTATCTTTATAATAAGTCTTGATGGCTGATAGAATAGATCCTACAACTTTATTCTCCCTTGTGATAATTGGCAATTTTGGCCCTCTGGATTTTAAGTTAAGTATCATTTTGCCATTTTATATGAACAAATATCTATTCAGATTTTGTTGTGATTTCATGAATTTATGTATCAGTATGTGAAGAATTAATATTTGTATAATAATGAGTCCTAAAATTTATAGGTACACTGGACTGCTATCATACTGGCTTATGAGAGTCTACTGGGCATGCCTCCTCCCAACTCCTATTCAGTGATTCCCAGTTGATAGGCAGGGGCTAGATTATATAAAGACTTCTGGGTCATATTAAATATTTTTATTAAAATCTTCTAAATCTATAAGGAAACTTTTAGCAGGTTTTAAGCTGTAGATTTGAGAAGTTATGTAAGCTAATTTCCATTAAAAAAAAAAAAGAGATTATTCTAAGTGGATGTGTGAATAATAGATTGAATGAGTAAACAGAGAAGTTAGAAGACCACTTAGGATGCTTATTATTCTAGACAAGAAATTTTGAAAGACTTAAGACAGTGGCAGTAAAATTAGAGAGGAATAATAATTCAAGGTATATCTCAGAAGTAGAGCTTTCTTTAATTGGAGATATATAATTTTCATGAGACAGTAACTTTAAGGAAAAATTTGCATATTCAAATATATGTATGTGATGTATGTGATACATACACACACACACACACACACACATATATATAATTTTTCTGTATCTATTTTCACTATTGGTTCTATATGCTTTAATATATAAGTGGCCACATATTTATCTCTTAATCTTGGCATCCCTCGAATGCTGAGATACTGTTGTGGTTACCTAGTGCTACTCTGACAGAAATATACCACAAATGTGGATGGCATGAGCAAACAGGAGTTTATTCTCTTAAAGTTCGGGAGGCTTTAAGTCCAAGTACTAAGTGCCAGGCTCTAGGGCCTGGGTGAAAGCCTCTCGAACTTGGGCTTCAGTTCTGCCTCTTGCTCCTGGCCCACTGAAGCTAGAGGCATTTCTTCATTCAGACAGCTGCTTGCTGCTGAGGCTAACAAGCCCAGGGTCAACAAATAAAATGGCCCGGTCCTGATGTTACCAAACCACACAGGCAGGCCATTAATTCAAGTCCACTGTAAGTCCCAAGGTCAGCAGAGCATGGCAGGCTGCTGAACAATGACACAGCTACATGCAGGATCCAAGCATGCCAAAAGCTAGAGACTACACCCAAGGCTTCTCCTTTTCTACAGGAAGTAAACCATATCCGAAAGGTAGCTAGCTACTCAGCTGCTTGTGCTAGAGTCCACCATGGAATTGACTGCCAGTCTCATCAAGGGGAATAACTACCACCAGCTTCCCAGCCACTCAACCAGGCCCAGCCAAGCTGACACACAAACACAACCATCACAGATACTATGTACACTGGGAACAAAGTTGGAAATGCTTTTTCATTGAGATATAATTTAGATAGATTAATATAATAATCCTCCTCTCAAAACTCTTTTACCTCATGCACTCTGTGGCTTGCAAAACACTAAACTCTTATTTCATTAGCAACAACAATAACAACTCATGCAGATGAAATAGACCAGGTACTATGTTAGATGTTCCATTTACTTTATTTCTGATTTTCTTAAGACCATATATGGAAATATCCCATTGTATAGATGAAGAACCTAAATATCCAAAGTTGTCCATCTACTAAATGATGAAACCAGAGGCCTAACCCACTTCTATCTATTTCGTGCAGATTTATTCCCAGTGCCTAGACCAGCCACCGATAAGACTAGAAAGAGTAAACACTCAATAAATACTTAGAGGCTTAATGAATCATTATTTCTTCCTCTCCAACTATTTTCCATTCATGATTCACAATTCTTTTTTTCAAGGAATGTGATAAAACTTTCAAAATAAAGTAAGTAGAAGTTTAATCTACAGTATCTAGCTTATATATGTAGTTGGCAAAGTAGCTAGAAATCAAGTTAAAAAAAGAGTGCCAGCATCTTCTTTATTTGATGTTTCAAAAAGCTCTGAATTACCTAGCATTTTTTATTAATGTTTTACTGTATCTTTTTTTGAATTGATAATTAAATAGGGACATAAACTTTTACTTTAAGAACACATTGATATTTAGAATTAAATTGTTCTCATAATTTATCTTTTCTCTTTAATTTTGTACCTAGGGAGGAAAAGATAGACTTTAAAAATTACCTATCATCTTATTAAAATATTTTTCAGTAAAATTGAATGAAATTAGTAAAAAAATAATAAATTTGAAACTTAAACTATTTTAGACCAATGAATTTAACCCCACTCCGGTTTCCTTTCTGGTTTATGTATATTGATCTCCTTATATATATGTATATATATTCTTTTATGTCTTTTAAAATGGTCTTCAGTGCTTCTAGGCTTGATTTTATCCACATGAAAATAAACTCTAAAGAGCTGAACAGGGTATTTGTGGTATTGTGATTAGAGGAAAAAAAAAAAGTCATTACCGATTAGATCTATGTCCTTTAGCCTTTGCCATAATTGGTGCATACTGAACTAATTGATACTATGAAAATGACTGTGTTCAAAATCAAAATAGCAGAACTGTTATTTTACTCTTAGGAGAATGTATAGAAGCTCTGGTGGTGTAGTACCTAAGCCATTTGACTGCTAACCAAAAGGCTGGCAGTTCAAACCCTCCAACTACTCCTCGGAACAAAGATCAAGCAATCTACTTCCTTAGAGATACTGTCTCAGAAACCCAAGGAGGGGTCATTATGAGTTGGGACTGACTCCATAACAGTGAGTTTGGTTTTTTGGTTTTAGGAGAATATATAGAATAATAAAATATAGTTAGTGGCAAACTATTTTTCGTTATTTTCTTCAAAATGATAAACATATTTACTTCCCACAGAAATACTACAGATGGCTGGTACCTGTATGCTGATAGTTCGAATGGAAAATTCGGTGACATGGCTGTCATTCTTACTCCTGTTATTTCATTTACGGGACCAAAATGTACCTTGGTGTTCTGGACTTACATGAATGGTGCCACGGTTGGGTCTCTCCAGGTAAATCCTTGACAATTGCATATTCTGAAATTGCTCTCAGAAAATTCATACTGTATAATATAATGTCATTAAAATATAGCTGCTAATGAAAATGGACAATTATCAACCCTTCACGAGTTTTAAAATGATGTGATTTGAGAAGAGGGAAAAAGAAGGTGTTAGCAGAATTGTACTGGGGTAAGCTTTTCCTATTGAATTTATGACTATTATTTTTCTTCTGAGGTTACAGGTTCTGTATAATACTGTTTACACTTGAAATATATCATGTAGGTTTCACTATCAATGTTCTAAGGATAATACAATCAAAAATATACACTCTTTGATGATATTTGAATGTGTATTCTTGTCTTTGACAGTAGCAACTGTCTTTAATAGTCTTTTATGAATTCTGTATTTGTCAGAAAAAATAAATTGTTTCAAAGTCATAGAAACGTTGCAGAAATTCACAAACGCTTTGTATGATTGAGATAAAGAAAAGTCATAGAAACGTTGCAAGAGTTGAACAAACAATTCCCATATTCCCTTAACTCAGAGACAAATTTTTCTCCAGTTTTCATAGCCATGTTCTCTACAGCAAAAAAATGCAATACACGATCACGTATTGTACCCAGAAGCCATTCCTTTCTCATGTCTCTCAAACTAGAACAATTCCTTACTTTTCCTACTCCTTTATAACCTTGATATTTTTAGAGTGTAGCCCAATCATTTTATAGAATGTCCTTCCATTTGGATTTGTTCAATCTTAGGTGTGGTGCTCTTTTCATTGTATCCTAATGGTATTTCCTGTTACTTTTGTTCCTTTTACTATCAAATATTTTATGAGGAGGTATTTTGAAACTTTGTAAACTCTTGATATCAGTTCCAGTTTTTATCTCTAATTTTAGCTTCCGCTTCCATTGATGTTTCTTGCCTAAATTAATTTTATTATCATGATTGCTTGATTGTGATTTTCTAATTCTATTATTCCATCTATATCTATAAGTTGGTTTTCTATTTTAAAGAATGATATTCTCTTCTCTCCATTTATTGATTCCTTGATGCACTTATTAACATCATTGTGGATTCATGATTCCTATTTTATACAATCTGTTAAAATCTACTTGTGTTATATATTTTATTGCTCAATTTTTTCCATATTGGGTTAGTAGGAGCCTCTTTAAGCTGATGTCTATATGTGTTTGAAAAGCTCCATCGATAATTAAGAAGTTTCTTCCTTTCTGGTCTATAAGATGTTCCAAACTCATCTTGTTTTTCTTCTGCCCCATTCCTGGAATGAGTGATTTCTCCAAGCTGTCTTGGTTTCTTTTAATAAACCAAGAAATACAGGCAAATGAGAGAGTTCTAGAATATTAACACAAGTCTCTGTATTGGACATGTCATGGTGGAGAATAAGTAAGATTTTTAAGTAGTGTGTATAGACACGGAAGCAGCCAACTCAGTTTTGAAGCCTCTCCATTTACATTTAGTTTTATAGCTTACATGGCATTTTCTAGAAAACCATATCTAAAAAACAAATTTATAGATTCCATATTTGTTCACTATGAGCCATTTTAGAGCAGGGATATCTTGCTAAAAGCATTCCATAGAAAAGTATTCGATCCCTCTCAAATACCATTAATTTGTTTGCTGAGAGGTCTGCATTAAAAATGTTTACAAGGGGATTAGATTTGGGTTACTTTTATTCTTTCCTAATAAAGAGAAAGAAGTAGACTCAAAGCCAGCTGCTTAACCACTTTCTTCCCTGTAGCTTCATTGTAATTTTAATATTAGGTATTTTGTTGTCTTCTTTAATTGCTGTTTTATTCTAGCATATTTCTGTCCAGTCATAATACTCCTTTTTAAAAATAAATTTCCTTCAAAAATCTGTTAATGTTTTATATTGGAAACATGTTAAATTTACAGATCAATTTTTGAAGAATTGTCCTATTTGTGATAGTAAAACTTTTACAAAAAAAGTTTAAAAGTATATTTGTGTGTGTATTTGTGTGTTTGTGTTTATTATCATTTAAAAGAGTGCCCAAATAGTCTTAGGGCTTGAAGCTAAAGTTTATTACTTGTTTAGCATTGACTTTTTTTTTTAAGTGGTTTTAGGCAAAACAATATAACTCACTGCTGGGTTGTCATCAGTAAAATGAGAATTGTTTGCCTAGCATATCTTGTAGTTGATATTAATTATCTGAAATATGCTGTCATTTTTTTCAGAATAAGAATTTGTATCAATAGCTGAAAAATTGTAAAGCTGTGTTAGAATTTTATAAATAATTTATAATTAAATAATTACTTTGATATACATGATCCTTATCTTTATGCATGACTGAATAAAATAACATTGAATGTAATAATGCGTTACATAAACACATTTTTCCTTAGTAACTTATATATAGTTTTATATTCTAATAAGGAAGATTTATTTTCTATAAATTCTTTCTACTACCCTTCAAAAATGTTTTTTATGTCTTGGTTAGAAATTATACCTTCTTGACTTTGTTAATATATTGAATAATCTTGAATTTTATAGAATTGTATGATACTTTTTAAAGCAATATACTACTTTTATATAACCGTATACTTTAGTTCTGTATAACCAATAGTGTGAATTTAAATTTTAAAGCATATGCATAATAAAACCATTGAAAGTTATCTTCATGTTCAAAAATCAAAATTTTGCAAATCCTTTATCTGAATTATTCTTTGGTGTGGTAGTTAAAGTTATGTGTCAGCTTGGCTGGGCCTTGTTTTGAGTATTTGGGCAGCTGGTGGTAGTTATTCCCCATAGTGATATTGGAAATCAACTCCATGGTGGAATCTACTGGAGCAGCTGAGTAGCTGCCTTAGGGACATGGTCTCTTTACAGTATATAGGGAGAAGCTTTGGGAATGGTCTCTAGTTTTTGGCATGCTTGGACCCTGCATGCAACTAAGTCTTCATTTAGCAGCCTGCCATGTTTCCTGGCCATCTTAGGGCTCTCTCTGGACTTGAACTAGTGGCCTGCCATGTTGTTTGATAATATTAGAACTGTGCCTTTTTACTTGTCAACCTTAGGTTTGTCAGCTTCATCAGCCAGCAGCTGCCTGAGTAAAGAGATACCTCTAGCTCCAGTGGGCCAGGAGCAAGAGGCAGACCTGAAGCCCACAGTTGAGGGTTTTTCATCCAGTCCCTAGAGCTGGCACTTTGATTTTGGACTTCTACCCTCTTAAACTATAAGAGAATAAATCCCTGTTGCTAAACCCAAGGAGGAGTCACTATGAGTCAGGGTGACTCGATAGCACATAACAACAACAACAACAACAAAGCGACCCATATGTAGTATTTTTCCATTAGAGCAGTACTATCCTACTTCCGTAGTGATACTGCCTCGGAAACCCAAGGAGGGGTCACTATGAGTCGGGGCCGACTCGACGGCACACAACAACAACAACAACAGGTAACCAAAACAGTTGGTCATATTAATTGTGTTTTTAAAAAGTTGTATTCTGAAGAATGGAATATACCATTTATGTCAGGTATTTTATAAATTGGAATTGTTTTCTTCTTTCCATTATCATTACTCTCTTGATGACTGATTTCTTATTCTACAAAGAAGAGTAGAGATAATTTGTCTGCTGAGGGTAATTGAATTCTCTAGCATGAGGTATGCCACTGGTGAAGATAAGAGCTGTTGGTTTCAAAGCTATTGGGCAGGGAACTTTTATTGGCACAGCTTGGGTAGGTGGCCACTTAGATGAGCCATCTGTGCTGTTACAGTATAATGGGCTTATACCACTCCCACTAAAACTCAGTGGACTAAGAAGCTTGTTCTGAAATAAAGCTGGTTCCTAGATATTTTTGCAGTTCACGGAAAGATATTCAGGCATATGTTTATATCAGAAGCTGATGAGGTACCTTGGGGAACAGTGCTGCAACTTCATAGTAGCAAATACAGACATTTAATGAAAAATGTCTGAGGCTCTTTTTCAGGGACCTAATGCCGACTCGATGGCAAATAACAACAACAACAATGTTGATAGTAAAATAATAATAATGATGGTAATAAACAACTCCATGGGAAAATTCTATACATGTGAACTATATTAAGAAAGTATTTCAACACCTTTTTCTTGATTTATCTATGCAGGTACTGAGCAAGAAAGGCAACATCACTTCTAAATTGTGGGCTCAAACCGGACAGCAGGGTGCACAGTGGAAAAAAGTAGAAGTGTTTTTAGGCGTTCATTCACATGTACAGGTTTGTAATCAGAGTAGTTATGTGATAAAGAAATTTTATAAATTAATTCTTTTTCATCTAATTTGTTTTTTCCACTCAGTCTTCTTGTCATCTTATTTCTTTTTTTTTATGTGTTGTATGAATACACAGGCACAGATTTTAACAATCCTTATGACATTTTTCCATAGGGAATTTACTATTCCAGAATGCCTTAATTTCTTCCAACTAAGCAATCAGATTTCTAGGAACATTTAATGACATCTGCCACTTCCAAATGAGCCCCCTGCATAAAGGACCCGTATCTCTATTTTAAAAATATGTTCTCAGAGACTTTAAAGTAACTGAGTTATTTCAAACCTAATTAAAAAGACAGTGTTTTGTAAAACTTAGACTGTTGAACCATTATTTAATTGAAAAAATATTTGTTGGAAGGCACAAAATGGTGTATGTTGTATGTGTCTTTATGTAGATTACATTGATATTAGTAGGATAAGTCCTATACATGTTGAATAATTAAATAAAAGTATAAGTAGTGCATAGATTAACATGGTGAAACTTAAAGTAATTATGTGCCAAGATACTGGTTATAAATTTTTTTATGTGTGTGGATAATCAAGACAGAGAGAGCTACATGGAATTTCAACGAGAATTTTCTTGGAGGACAAGACTTAACTATTACTATTTGTTAAGATTTATGTAAGCAGAGAGAGAACTATTTATGCAAGACAACAATTTTCTCTTAATCTTAACTGCCCAGAGCTTATTTCCATAGATTAAAAAACCCTTATCTCTAGATAAGGAGTTCTGGTGGTGCTGTGGTTAAAGCATTGGGCTGCTAACCAAAAGGATGGCATTTTGAACCCACCAGCCACTCCATGGGAGGAAGATGAGGCAGTCTGTTTCTGTAAAGATTTACAGCCTTGGAAGCCCTATTGAGGCCTCTATGAGTAGGAATTGACTTGATGGCAGTGGGTTTTTGGTTATCTTAGATAGCAGAGGTAAGATCTTTCATAAATATTGCATCTCCAGTTCTCTGTATGTGTAGCAGAATTAACCAACTCTGCTGTGAGTGTTCAGTAAATATGTCTAGAATTATGTGCCATCTGTGGTTCTTCAGTCTCTCTCAACTGTAGTGAAACCCAAAATGAATGCAGGTTGATAAAGGCCTTTGCACAGCATCCTGCCCAATTTCTTGTGGTGATAGTTCTTGGAATAAGTCTCATGTTTTCAGCCTCTCTCTAAAATCCAGTTTTCTTATGGATCATTTGTAGATATTTAGAAAATAGTTAAGAAATAACTATTTATTTCTTTAAAGATTAGAGAGCAATTCGATGGCCTGGTACAATATGAAAATGTATTATGAGGCAAATTCTGCCTGTTCAGCCTCCAAGCTCCTTTAACTGAGACACAAATAATCCTCAGCAAGAATATGCAGAGTTTTGTGGCTGCCAGACATAAACTTTTGCCCCAGGCAATGATTTTTAACTAGTTCTGTATAAGTAGGTTATTTGTAAAGAAAAATGATGTTCGTAATAACATTAAAGAAAATAGCAAGAGGGCAGCTCTGGAGGCGTAGTGCCTAAGGCATTTGACTGTTAACCAGAAGCCTGGTGGTTCAAACCCACCAGCCACTCCTTGGAAGGAAGGTTGGGCAATCTACTTCCATATTGATGCTGCAACTAACAAAGAAAGTTTCCCTCCATATATAAACCTTTCCTTGACCATCCACAACAATGAACTAATACTATATTTATCCTTCTGTGATTGACTTATGTCACTCAGCATAATGTCCTCCAAGTTAGTGCTGCATAACATTCCAGTATGTGTATGTACCATAGTTTGGTCATCTACTCTTCCGCTGATGGGCACATAGGTTGTTTCCATCTTTTTGCTATTGTAGATATTGCTGTGATGAACATGAGTGAACATGTATCTGTTCCTATCCTGGCTCTCACTTCTCTAGGATACATACCTAGTAATGAGATTGCTGGGTCAAATGATATCTCCAATTCCAACTTTCTAAGGAATCACCATATTGCTTTCCACAGTGGTTGTGTCACTTCACAGTCACACAAGCAGTGTATGAGAGTCCCAATCTCTCCACATCCCCACCAGCATTTGTTATTTTCTGTCTCATTGAACCTTGCCATCAGTGCTGGGGTGAGACAGTATACCTCACTGTTGTTTTGATTTACATCTCTCTGATGGCCAATGATTGTGAGCATCTTTTCATGTATTAGCTGACCACCTGAATATCCTCCTTGGTGAAGTGTCTATTCATGTGTTCTGCCATTTTTCAATTGGATTATTAATTCCTTTGGTGTTGAGGCGTTGGAGTTTTCCATCAGTCTTAGAGATAAGTCCCTTGCCAGATATGTAATTATCAGCAAATATGAATTTGTTGCTGTCATTTTTGTCATGTGCTTTTTTATTGTGTCGATTTCTTTGTTCCATATAATTTTCTATGCTGAGCTCATTTTGTTTGTGAATCATGTTATCACTTCCTTCATTGCTGTTGTTTTAGTATTTGCTGAATATTTATGCTGGTCCTCTTTTTTATTTTGATATGAAGGTTTATCATCTTTCTTTGAAGTTACCTTGTGATTTATAGTTTTCTTCCTAAGTATAGAACAGTCCATTCTATCTTGTAGTTGTCTTGACTTTCCTACCATCTAGAAGTTCTGTAACAACACAGGCTTTTTTTTCCCCCTTTTTGGTTTGTAATTGTCCTCATTTGTTGGTTGGTGTCTCTGGTTCCCTGTTTACAGTCTTGTAGACTTGTTACTTTGAATTCTTCCATAGCTGGGTTATTTCTGTGTTATATCATCCTGTGTGTTAATGGTCAGTTGTTGTTGGTTGTTGTTGCTTCTCTGTCCAAAGGACTCCTTTTAGCATCTCTTGGAAGAATGGTCTGGTTTAAACAAATTCCCTTATTTCTGCTTATCTGGAAATCTCCTAATTTCACCATCATATTTGAGGGACAATTTTTCTTGGTGTACAATTCTTGGTGAAAATTTTTCTCTTTTAGGGTTTTATATATACCATCCCATTGCCTTCTCACTGGCATGGTTTTTGCTGAGAAATCAGAGCTTATTCTTCCTGGTTGATCTTTGTAACTTTTTGTTTTTCCTGTGATGCCATCAGGATTCTGTTTTTGTCTTTGGTTTTGATGAGTTTGATGATGATAGGTCTCGGTGATTTTCTTTTTGGGTCTATCCAGTTTGGGGTTCTTTGGACTTCCTGAATGGATATTTTCTCATTTTTTATCATATAAGGGAATTTCTCCTGCAACAGATTTTGGACAATTTTCTCAATCATTTCATTTTACTCCTCCTGTTCTATATTCCAGTGACACGTAGATTATTCCTTTTGATGGTATCCCAGGTATCCCACATGAACCTTAGACTTTCTTCATTTTGTTTTGATTTTTTTTTGATTGATCCCTTTCCAAAGAAATATTCAGATATTTTTCTTCCATCTCATTAATTCTGTCTTCCATCACATCAATTCTTCTCCTTTGCCTTTCCAATGTGTTATCTATTTCTGACAATTTAGTATTAGTCATCTGGATTTCTATCTGTAGATTTAGAATCATTTCTAATTTTTCATTTATTTTGTCATTTTGTTCTTATATTTTGTTCCAAAATTCTTCTAGGGTTTTTTCTGTGTTTTCCTTGTTCTGTCTCTCAATCCTTTGAAGGTACCTAAATATAATTTTTTTGAATGCTTTATCAGGGAGTTCCAATGTTGTGTCTTCCTCAGGGATGTGCTTTGGGTCTGTATCCTGGTCCCTTGTTTCTCCTGCTTTATCTTGCTTCTTTGTGTGGACTGTGACAATCTGTTGTCTCCAAGGCATTGTGACATTTTTGTGTTTATATTTAAATGGTAATTACATGTTGGAGTGTCTTGTCCACAATTTTTGTTTTCTTTACTTTGTTTGTATGTTATCTATACAGGCAGGGTACTATGCTATGCTCCTCTATTCACTAGTTGACAGCACTTATACACTCACCACCTGTTTCCTCTCCTGTTGTCAGCCTGTCGTATATCCTTGCCGCCCCTGGCAAACAGAGCCTGTTCTTAGGTCCCTGGAATCCAAATGAGAATACTATCATTTTAAAATCCAAAATGGTTGCCACTTGTAAACATTCAAAATGGCTGTGCCCCCAGTCACTTTAAATATCCAAAATGGCTGCCATGTGTAAACAATCAAAATGGCTGTGCCCTCTGGGCAGCAGGAAGTCTACAGTTCAGGTTGTCTCCCTCTTTGCTGTTTCCCTTCCTAGTCATAGGCCACCAGAGAAGTTGTCCTTGCAGCCCTTGGTGACCGGGACTGATCTTAGGTCAATTCTCAGGTCCCAATACCACTTGGAAATATTCAGGCTGTTGGTCTCGTCAGAGTAGCTGACAGTCTGCAGCTCCGACCGTCTCTGTCCTGACTGTTTTCATTCAGGTTTTTCCACTAGTTGTTGCCTAATCCACTTCTGTATATCTTTCAAAGCTCAGGGTACCAGAATTATCTTCTGTATCTCTGTCAATTGGTTTTTCTTTTCTTTGTTGAAGAGTGTCTTTGTTGCTTGTCTGCCTATTCCTCTATCTTACTGGAAGTCCTTGCATCCATATTTAAATGTTCAGAAGTATCCAGATGATAGAACATACTTTCCAATTTTTATTTAACATTTTTCCTGGATTTAATTGGCATGTGACTGCTAACCAGAAGGCAGGCAGTTCAAAGCCACCAGCCATTCCTTGGAAGGAGGGTTGGGCAATCTACTTCCATAATGATTCTGCCTCAGAAAATCAACAAAATCTATGAGTTGAATTTGACTTGATGGAAGTGAGTTTGGTTTTTCTGGTATATGAAAGTTGTAGTCCTTGTTACTTTTTCTTTTTTCAACTATTCTTACTCACATCCAAGCTCTTTGTCTAGGTGACAAATGTATTTTTCTTTCCGAGCACATTTGCTTTGAAGAACAACAATTTATTCCTTTTATATAAATTGAATATATAAAAAGTCTTGTATCTTTTCGTTCACAATGCAAGAGATACATTTTCAATTATCCAACCCACTCATATTAAGAGGAAAACAGCTAAATTCACACAATAACATGATGATATACCACATCTATAGGGAAATACTTTAATTATTTCTTACAAGAAAAAGAATTGCTTAGAATTGGCCAAGAATTATATAAAAGTTCAGTAGTAATAAGTATTTTGTATAAAATCACTACTGAGATAAATTTGTAGTTTTATTCAACTCTTCTCTAATTGTTCTGTTTTATTTTAAAATGTATGAATTTTTCTCATTAATATAGTTATATCTTTAGTGTGCAATAAAATTTAATAGAAACATGGAATTAATTTCATTTAGAAAATTGAAACTAAACAACATGTGAAGTTTTATGTTCTATGGACAGCGAATAACCTTACTGAATCCTCCTTATATTTTTCATCACTGGCCAATTAAAGAAAAATTAAACTTGCAGTGTTGAGGTTTGGTATTTTTAGCTTTCAAATAGTTAGGTCGACAGATCTGAGAAATGGCAAGAATGGGAGAAATAGAATAACAGTGTGCTTTTATCTTCTTTCTCTTGGAAAGTTGTCTTCTGATTGTCCTCCTGCTTCCACCAGCAGGTCCTGGTCAAGATCTGAGAGCCGGCAGAAACAGCAGTAATGGGTTGGTGACTGCCACTTTTCTAGACCACCTTTATAGACAGGAGGCAACAGCGATGCCATGCCCACATTCTTAGATTTCAAGGATGGAACAGATTTTAAATAACTCGCATTCTTCCTAGGTCAGATTAATTAGGGGAAATTGTATCAGGTTCAATCACTATGTGCTATATTTAGAATTTGTTCCAAGTTTTGAACTGCTTGATGGGGACTGACATTGAAATCAGCTTTTCTGTTTGTTTTTTGTTTTGTTTTTAAGATTGTCTTCAGGGCAAAACGTGGCATCAGTTTCATTGGAGATGTGGCAGTGGATGATATTTCCTTTCAAGAATGTTCCCCCTTACTTAGCCCAAATAGAAAATGCACGTCCCAAGAATTCACGTGTGCTAACAAGCATTGCATTCCAAAGGACAAGCTGTGCGATTTTGTAAATGATTGTGCTGATAATTCAGATGAAACTACTTTCATTTGCAGTAAGTAAAAGTGTTGTTTCCTGGCTTTTGCCTTTATCTCCCATATGCTTATTCTCTGAAGCCTGTTCTTTGTTGAAACATATTATATTTCAGTAGCAGAGGCACTTATGGTGATTTAGCTATTTAAATATATTCCTTTCCCTCTTTCAATACTTAATTTTGAACCATAATTAATTTAAAACTGCTTGTTGGCTTTGTGTCTGTGTGAAGTAATTGAAGATTAACTGAAACACAGGTGTCTTCAAAGATAAACAGAACAATAACAAGTATTTTGCATATGAAGGACATTTTTTGGAAAAACAACAAGCAAAACATCTATGAAAGCTAATTCCTGCAGGGGTTGAGTGGTCTCTCTGCTTTGATGCATTTCAGAAAATTGTCATTTATATTGTGCTGCTCATCAGATGTGATACATTCCTGAAAAAACAAAAATGTAATACCCAGATAATATATAAAGTAGACAAAGTGATCTCTTAAAGGAAAGGTACATATCAGGTATGCATTATTGTTGTAGAAATCAACTCAATAAACCAAACCTATTAAAATGTCCTCAGACAATTGGGCCATATGTGCTCATTGAGCCAAGCCTTTAAAAATTGTGCTACACAACCTAGTTGTTGCCTCATTTCATTGTAAATGAGGTGAATATGCTGTCAAAGGAAAGTCTGACAAATCTTTCCAGTACCACTTGTAATGATTTCTGAGCTAGGAGATTAAGGTTTGATCTTACATGCCCTTTGAAACTAAACCTGGAATGTCAAGAACAACTTCAGTATAATAACCTCACATTTATAAAGAACTTTTAACTTTTCAAAGCCCCTTTTCCTAATAATCTCCATTTGATCCCCAAAGAAGCTTTGAGAGATAGGAGGGATGGATATTATTAACTACATTCCACAGATGAGGCTACCAACAAGAGTAGCTTTGTCCAAGTTCATAAAATTGGTACTGACTGAGTTGATACTAGAACCCAAAGACTTTGATTTAGGAGCCACTGCTTTTCCTAAGTAGAAGTGTTCTGTTTCCTGATTATATATATATATATATATATATCTTTGTTCTGTCAGTTGTAGATGATTTCTTACCATGTCTGTTTTTGCCATATATGAACCAACATTTATTTTTTGACTAATTGTGGATTCTTTATTGAGATTCACCTCTACCTTATGAATATTTTCTGCTATATTTTTACTTATTTTCTACATCAAATGTTTATACTTTCTTTTTATTACCATTTTCATTTAATACTACAACAAAGTGTATCAGGTGACTAGGACAGATATTTGCTTTTGAAATTTACTGTGATTTTTCCAATGTATCACTTTCCTAATATTATAATACACCTCTTCCAATACTTAAAGTATCAATCTAACTTTGGCTAAATTTTTCTTTGTATTTAGGCTCTAAAATTGTGAATATTTTTGGAAATTACCTCCCTGAATTTGGGAAAGGATGTTGATGTAGTAAGGGGATTTCAAATATATTAAAAGCTTACTGTCTTGGTAGTTACTTGGTATGCAAAATAAAGGTATAAATAATATTTTAAATTAATAAGTCTTTGAAGGGCAAGTGTTACCAGAAGGTGCTTTTTGGTAAATAGATTTCCAAATTTCTTTAGATTAGGGAGGAGCCCACTCGTATTAGTAAGGCTGGGCAATAAAACTTAGTAAGTTGCAGATTGCATGGGAAAATGGAAATTTTTTCAGCTCCTAAAAACATGAATTTAGAATCAACTGTAAAAGCACCCCACATTTTTTACATTATTTCTCATTACATGAGCACTTTTTTTTAAAATAGTATGTTTATTATATATTTTTAAAAGTTCAACTGTATTCCTAAGATACTAATGTTACGTTTTAATTGTAGAATGGCTAGAATCTGCTATATGAATTATGAGTGGTGTTACCCAATATATGTTGTAAACATTGACACTCTAATGAGACTTAACAAAAATGGGGGTGGGGGGGTAAGTGAATAATCATGTCAGCTAATCTCAGAAATTTGATTGACAACCAATCAAGTATATGAACTTAAATCTCACAACCTAGGCATAACAAAAAAATAAATAAATAAACTCTTTTTAAATGCATGGACTATCACTGATGGAGAATAAAATAATCCTTTATAAAGTAAAAAGTATCTGCTGCTTTAAAATCTGTACATCAATTTAGATTCTAAAGGAAAATGTAGCAGAAAAATGATAATTCTATTTAAAATTTTATATATATACAGAATATGTCTAAAATATTGACTATGTTCAAAACAAATGATTCATGTATTTAGGAAAATTAAAATCATATGACAAAAAAAAAAAAAGAGGTTGCTCTGAAAAACAGTCATATTTTCCATGTTCCTATATATGCTTATTAGCGTATTTGTTGTTAGATAATTGAGAACATCTCAGGTTTACCCAAGATAATTTAATTCTGCACTATGATTAGTCAAGACATAGGCTATTTGAACAACCATAATTAATAATCTGAACCTAATGAGCATATATTATACTATATTTTCAAACTGTACATATCCATTCTTTGAAGCACATACAGAACAAGTAACAACAACAAAAAATATTGTATTCTTAAACAGTAAGCGAATTTTAATAATTTTCTGAAAGTTAATGTGACAGAGTATGACATTTGAATCAGGCTAGAAATCAGTTATAAGAATATATTTTGAAAATCCCTATTGGTTATGATAAACCCATTTTTAATAACTAATGAGTCTCACATCCATAAAAATATAAATTAGAGAAAAATTGAACAGATATATGCTAAAAATAATAATGCATAACAAAACCTTAGAGAGAAGTTCATAGCCCTAAAATGGCTGTTATAAAGTAACAGTTATCTAATACTTACAATTTATGAAATAGAAAACAAGTGTAAAATAGAGAGGATTTGAAAAGAGTGATGCAGTTTTCAAAACCCTGTCAAGAATGATCAAGAGAGAGAAGATAAAAATATCAAACTAACACCTACTTATCAGTTTTTATGTTGAAACTCCTACTATACACCTCTAAACTAAAACAGACAAGATACCTTTTCTCATTAACATATATTCTTGTGGTAAACAGAAAAAAGAAATGTGTGTATGTGTATGAAGTAAATTATACAGTTTGTTAAAAAGTGATAAATGCTATGAGGGAAAAAAAAGGGAGATAAAAAATGGAAAAAAGGATTGAAATATTAAGTAGGATAACAAGGATAGAAATGAATTGGAAGATATTTAAGCCAATTTTTTAAGGTGGTCTGGGGCTTACCCAGTTAAATATTTAAGGATTGAAAAGAAGATATTATATATTACTGCTAAAATATTAATATTAAGTTATTAAAATTTAAAAGGGATTGTGGTATAAATTTTAAAAATTATAATGAAAAAATATTATTAAAATACAGCTTTAAAAACTGACTGAAGATGAAAACAGAACATGCATAATCTCAGTAATTTAACAAAAATGAATTAGTAGTGAAAAAAACTTTCTACAGAAAACATTGGGTCCAGAGAAATGGATAAAGTGGCAAATTTTAACAAGCATTCATAAATGAAATCATTTTAATTTTACTCAACTTTTCTAAAAACTAGAAATAATATATACTTAGTTTTGTTAGATATTTACCTAACAAAATTGCTAATTTCACCTAGCAGCAAAACTGTTTCTCCTAAGGTATGTGTATGGTCAACCTTTGTAACTGCTTCAAACAATTTTCCTAATACATTGCATCAGTTCACATGCCCACAATCAGTGGATTAGTGCTCCAATTGCTTTACATCCCCAAATTGCCATTTGAATTTTAGCCTTTCGGGTTGGTGTGCATGTCATGGATAAAATTTCCTTGTCAAACAATGTATTGTAAATATGTCCATTTCTCCATTATCTCTGAGGATAACAAACAACAGCAAAATTCAGTGTCCAAAAAAAAAAAAAAAAAAGAGTTATAATTTATCAGTCTGCAAGTGGCTATATTACGTTGATGTTGGCTGAGCTCATCAGGGCTTAGTACAGGTGTGGTTTAGGCTGAGGCGTTGATCCACTAAGCCCTGATCCACTTGTTTCTTATCCTCCTTGGAATGGCATGTACTTAAAGCATATTTTTCTCATTGCACAAAACATGAGTGCAATGGCACAGGGACAAATTTGTAAGTGCATGTGTAGTCCTTGCCTGTGTCATGTCTTTTAAAATCCCATTGGCCAAAGCAAGTCAGATATCAAAGCCACAATTTGGTGTGATGGAGAAGTGTCCTCTCCCAGGTTGGGAGGGAGAGAGGAAAGAATATTTGGTAAACAATAATCCAAACTCTTACACTCGATTACTTAATAGCAACCTTACTAATAAATTCAAAATGCATACTTTTAAATGCATATATTTCCTATTGGGTAGAACATTCTTCAGGTATCTTTTTTTTTTTTTTAAATCACATGGCTATACAATTTAACATTGCTGAGATATGAAAGACCATAACCTTCAGTATTGATTACATCAACATAAAACAAAAATCCTCAGAACTGGACAAATAAACAACATCATGATAAATGGAGAAAAGATTGAAGTTTTCAAAGACTTCGTTTTACTTGGATCCACAATCAACTCCCATGGAAACATCAGTCAAGAACTCAAATGATATTGCACTGGGCAAATCTGCAAAAGTGTTAAAAAGCAAAGATGTTACTTTGAAGACTAAGATGTGCCTAACCCAAGCCATATATTTTCAAATCGCCTGAAATGCATGTGAAAGCTGGACTATGAATAAGGAAGACTGTAGAATAATTGATACATTTGAATTGTGCTGTTGGCAAAGAGCATTGAACATACCATGGACTGCTAGAACAAACAAATCTGTCTTAGAAGTACAACTGGAATGCTCCTTAAGCAAGGATGGTGAAACTTCATCTCTCATACTTTGGCCATGTCAGAAGTGACCAGTCCCTGTAGAAGGACATCATTCTTGGTAAAGTAGAGGGTCAACAAAAAAGGGAAAGAACCTCAAGGAGTTTGTTT